ACATATCAGCCTCAGACGAGTTTCCACCTGCTCAGCAGCCTTACTGTGACAGCCTTCGCTCAGAGAGCTTAAAGCACTTATTTTTATGCAGAATAGAGCCTTAGACACCAAGAAAATCCACCCAAGCTTTATGCAGACATGGAGCAGACACTGCATCCCCGTCAGGGACGTGGTGGTCAAACAGATCAGGTGCCAAGGTCACTCTCTGTTGGTGCCAGAGGTAGGCAGGGCAGGAGGGGCTTCATTCACGCATTCACGTGGTGCCTAACCCCTGGATGGGGACGGCTATGAAAGCCAAGTGCTGCTGTTTGTACAAGAGCTGAATGCCAGCACATGAGGGGTAGCCGGCAGACTGAGCAGAGTCACTCCAGGGACAGATGCCACAGGAGCTCCCACAGCCGTCCACATTGCTCTTTTGAGCTGCAGCTGCACAGCGTGCGTGCAGCCAGCCCCATTACTCATGCGGAGCAAGGAGCTGCTTCAGAAACATCAGCAGCTGCTTGGAGAAAACGCTTCTCAAACAGCCCCACGCAACCACAGCACAGGACAATCAGAAGAGCAGCAGCCCCCTTTCCTTCCATCACCCTGCCTAGTGCAGCAACAGGCCCCTGACCTGCCCCTCTCTTGATCCAGGCTTTATGCAGACATGGAGCAGACACTGCATCCCTGTCAGGGACGTGGTGGTCAAACAGATCAGGTGCCAAGGTCACTCTCTGTTGGTGCCAGAGGTAGGCAGGGCAGGAGGTGCTTGGGTACCTTCCAGGTAAGCCTTCCAGGGGTCCCGGACCCTCACCTGAGCCACCACTCAGATATTACACCTCCCCAATCCAAGAGCAGACTTGCCGACCGCTTGGGGCTGGGAGGGGCGTGCAGAGGCAGAGGACATGCCAGACCCTGGTGAGAATCTGTATTTATCTGTGATGCGGAGGGTCTTTTATACCCCAGAGGCAGAAGCACATCAAGGCGAGGTGAAACGCTGAGTGCAGCGGAGCCCAGCAGATCCGCACAGCAGTGGCAGATGGCCTATTTTGCTGTGGTTTTTTGAGCTGCTCCCTCCAGCTATACGCAAACCAACACCAGTCCCTTCCAGCTCTGCCCTCAGCAAGGGCTGGCTGTCAGCGTGGGCAAATGGCACGTCTCACCTCTGTGGCTGTGGAGGTTAATGGGTGAACCTGATGGAAGGCTGCATGCTGGCTCCTGTTAGCTCACTGATGGGAAAAGCTGAGCTCAAAAGGCACACGGGGCTCTGAAAGAGGGTGCTGAGAGCAACGTGCAGGAGAGGCACGGCCAGCAGGCCAGCCTGGCCTTTACAGCAGCCAGTCGGGAAGGCAGCTGCCCTGTGAAGGCCTCCTCTGAGGCTGGGGACCTCACTTCCATGCACAGATGGGAGAAAGAGAGAGAAGAGGCTTCTTTTATTTCTAGGAAACTCCACAGATCTGCCTGGGGCCACAGAGAGGAGGAATTGGGGCTGCAAACCACACAGGGAGGAAGCCCCACCACCTCTCATCTTCGTATGGTATCTGTCTGTTCTTGGCAAGGACTCCAAGGGCTGCACAGAAATGACTCTAAATCTCGATGGCATTTCTTCCATCCCCAGTGCCTGTCGCAGGCCCGTGAATAGCTCAGCTTTGTTCCCTGCACAATGGGAGCAGCCCTCCACAACCTGCAGCTTGCTTGGTAACATGCTAAGTGGCCACCAAGGCTTTCTCCAGTCACATCATCTGCTTCAACTGCCCCTTTTAGCACATGAAATGGCAGCCCTCTCCAGGGACCAAGTGTGTCCCGGCACCCAGGAGGGAACACCCTCATGCAGGCAGAGGTATTGCCATCATCTGTGTCATGGTAAGGTTACAAACCACGCTCGAAAAGCCAGGATACTGCCCTCCAGCTGTGGGGCTTTTGGGGAGCAGCCAGCCCTACAGCTTCTCTGCCAAGCTGCAAGAGCTGCTCGTATGTAAGAGGAGGCACCTGTGTGCAGGGAAGCTGAATCTTCCCAACCATGTCTGGAACCAGGCAGGAAGAAGCCCGTACCTCGGCTTTTGATCTTTACAGACAATCGTTACTTAAACTCTCAATTACAGGATTAAAGACAAACGTGCTTCCTGCATACACAGGGCTGACCTATCCAGCAGCTGCATGAGGAGTCAGCAACAGGTTGGTCCTGCCAGGCTGCCCGGGGAAGGCAGGGGCTCTCAGGGACCTGCCGTGTTGCAAGGAAGAGCCAGGGACTTCACTGGAGCCCGGCGCAACCCTCAAGCCCACCACCCTGTGTTTGGTCCCTGCTCATTTCACCACGGGCAAGGCTTGCAGTGCATCGAGGACAGAAGCTCCTGGAGTCTGTTGTCTTTGGCACCACTGAAGCGCCATCTGCAAATACAAGCCAAGAGAAGTTGCTTGGCCCTGGCTCAGGGTGCACTGCCAACACTGCATAGAAAGCCTTCCAGGGGTCCCGGACCCTCACCTGAGCCACCACTCAGATATTACACCTCCCCAATCCAAACCTATCACAAACCCACCAGACTCCTCTCGTACTCAAGGTCCAGTGATCTCTAAGACACCTTCTGGGTAGCCAAGACAGGAGACAGACACTGTGCATGTGAAGACACATGCCAGAAGGAGCAATTTCAAGGGGGCCTGCCTTTGTCCCAACCTCCTCTTTCATCTCTTCCTGTGAGGAGACAATGATTATAACTGCATTTTTCTTGTCACATAGGAAACTGGGTGTCTGAATAGGCAGAAGTAGGTGGAGTGGGCAGATCACAAACCCTCCAACTTTCTGCAGAAGAAAAACGCACCGAGGTGGGTGACTAACTGCTGCAAGAAGGTTTCCTTCTGAATCCAAAGTGACTGCACAGGGGAGCTGAGACAAGGGTGATGAAAAGCCAAGACTGATCCTGATGGGAGCAACAATACAGGCAGGGATGCAATACAGCTGTGGGTATCATGACTGAAGCACAGCAACAAGACAGACCAAGTCTCCCATCCTTCTGCGGCGATGTCCCAGGACTGCAAGCCCCCCAACTCCCTTGCTTTCTACAACACAGAGAGAGGGAAGCGGCACAACAGCCGGGAACATTGCCAAGGACAGCAAAAAAGAAACCAACATAATCAAACAAACCCTGATCCAGCTTATGTGCAGCTCCTGTACACAAGCTGTGCTCCACTCCGCTGTTTGTTAGTGAGACACAACTAATCACACGTCTTTGTGGCAAGAAAAAACTGCACAACTCCCCTATTTAACAAGGCCACCCCTCACCACCACTTTGTTCACTCTAAGTGCTCTTAACTTCAGCCGTTTGGAGAGCAAGATGAGGTTGGCTTGAAGCAAAGGAGACAGAACTGGTGCAGCCAGAAAAGGTCAAAGCATCACAGGTACCGTTGTGATCTGAGCCAAGCACTTCCCAACAACCCACAACCCACCACTATACATGGTGCCATGTAGGCACTGACTCCCGCAGCTGCCCTGCTCTGCCGGCAGCCCAAGGTCTTGGCACTGAACCCTGCAGAGCTGAGATGCCAGTAGCAGCACTTGCAGCACAAGAGAGTGAAGAGTGACAGAGCACTTACCAGAACACGAGTCCAAAGTAAATGCTGCTCTCTCGCACAAAAATGCCTGCTCCCAGGTGTGCTCCTCATTACAGATGCTCATTTGGGCTTATTCCCTCTGAAGTCCAACATGGCTTTAGGCTGCTTTGAGAAC